TGACCTCACAAAGCGTCAGCTTGGATGAGCGTTTGGGGCCAAACAGCAATCGAAAGCAAATTCAAGCTTCGTGCACTCCGTCGTGTATATTTTCAGCGACACCACAGTCATATGAAACAATAACTCGTGCCTTCAAGATCCATTCAATCACCATGTACCTCACACACACTTACAAATTTCAATCAGAACTAATACATGAGGCCATTTAAAACCTCCAGTGTTTCTCAGAGGCTGGACTATTATGTCGATGTATGGATCAGGCTGTCAGGGTAATATAAACAGTTGGTGGACGATGGAGGCCTATGGCCATTTCGGTGTCCACTGGATTCTCAGGTATTCAGATTTGCATAAGGATGAGTGAGCTGGCATCCGGGTGGTTGGCTAATTGAAAGTGACATATCAGGAAATCTCATTTTCTTGCGTTTTGACATGCGACTCTTGACTGCAGACAGCGTTAAATGATCCATCATGTAGACAGCATATATTTTCGTGGAGGATTTATTTCAAATGTAATTTAACCCTCATAGTACGCAATGAAATGTAATCAGCACCACGGAAAAAGCGAGTCACCTGTATCATTCTCGTAACACTTCCCGGTCATTTTGCATCGGTTGTTCAAATAGACATCTGGACGGTGTCATGAGCCACTCAGATAAGCTCTCAAGAGACTATGCGAAAAGTGTGCAGTCTGCTGGTGATCATGAACAAATTAACATGAAAGGAGATGTGGCAGCAATTCCTTAGAAGAGGAACTTACGGATTGGCACGTAGGCTTGCATAAGGACGTCCAACTGTTCAACAGCAAACAACAAAACGAAATAAAATGGATTTTACGTTCTCATAATTGGTGAAACTACCACAGTTGCGGTGATTCTCCGTAATCTCTAAACCGAGTGCAAGGAAGTGTTGCGTAAAATTATTTTCCTGAACTATCAGGCAAAGACACTTACGTGATTTTTGACCGTTAGTTATACACACAAATACTGAAAACGTTTGTAAGATAAGGTGAAATGGATGCATTCTAAGACGCTCGTGATGTTGCATGGCCCGCGACCATCCGCATGCTTTTTACCACAGCTACTTATCCAATCAGACTGTTGGGTGACATTGGCAAATCACCGACCAGTCGTCGTATGATCTGTCCAATCTGAAGGCCGTACAATCGGCCTTGAGGAAGGGACAAGTCTGATCTCGTTTTGTCACTTTGAGCCAGAGGTGCGCCAACGATGAGACACGAATTGCAACGCTTCCTGCGTTTGAATTGTCCCAAGGATTATTCGTTCAATCCCCTAATCAACAAATGGGCAAATAAGATGTGCAATGATTCTGAGGTGTTTGTGGATGATCGGATTTATGATCTCCACTGCTTAGAAAGTTTATTCTACGCACACTAGATGAAACTAGGTCTCTTAATTGATGGTGTTAGAAACAGGTATATATCAAGAATGGGTACTCCATATGATCAGAATCTTGAATGCCGGGTGGAACTGATTCTGCCTACAGTGTACTCTCGCCATTACTGCAACAACATCGCTGAGGTTTTCAGCACAAAGACAGTGCCAATTTGCCTATGATTGTTGAGGTCCCAGACATGGAAAGCCGTCTCAAAAGAAAATACTGTTTTCGTTCTTTGTTGTTGCTCTGTCTTAGTACAGATTGCACACACTGCTTTAAAGACCATCGTTGCCGAATAATGTGATCAGCAAAAAGCGGAAGTAAGTAAAATTTCGTCCTGCAAAAATGTAACTTGCTCACACATTTTGGACTCCGGTAAGGAGAAAACTCCAGGAAATTCTATCTGGACTTTACCAATTTGCCGGTTTCACTCCCTAGGCAAAGCCGCCATCAAGACTTCGAAATACGTTCAAACATTTTGAACATTGCACTCATTGGTTTTGTTGCTCTTAGCCGGATAATATTTCCTACACTTTTGTATTAGTTTTGCAATCATATTGTTTGATATTGATTCCGAACTATTGCATTTTCCGGCTACGGAATAAAGAACTCAAAGAAAACCTCTGTCACATCTTGATACTCACCGTCTGAACTGGTTGACCGCATGCTGCTATGCTGCTTGATGGGCGTTCTAACATGAGACAAGGAGAAAAAGTTGTTCTGGGCTCAGTTAGTTCCTTAAACTCCGGTTCACTTGTTTGAGAAAACACAGTCGGTCTACGCTATCCAACATTGGTGCACCAAACGGGAAATTTATTCGGTCGGTAGGTACGCAAGCACAACACTCTGTTATTATTGAAGAACTAGTCACAACCAAGTCGTATGAAATTACTAAATCTCTGATACATAGCCATCGGGTTCACGCTGATAGGGTACTATGATTAGCCTTGATGATCTTTGTCGTACTACACTGTGATTTATCGTACAAGTTGACTGAACAAATGCGTCAAAATCTAACCTGAGTTGGCCCAATGGGACGTGCATTTGAAACTTCTGGCTACAACATCGACTGCCCGATTGAAGCGACGTGATTCCAAACTTTTTTCATAAAATCACAAGTTTAACCAAAGATGAGCAACGAACTAATGACAGGTGAGAGCAACACTAGTTCTTGCAAATGATAAAACCTCTTGCTGTTGAAGAGTTATGAATTCAATGTGGACAACCTACCGGACATTGCAGAGCTGATGGATAAAAACAGCATGTAATTTACTTACTGAATTTGCCAGAATGGATCTCAAAAGGCATAGTTTGACTATTTCATCATACATAGAGTTCGCTGCTGTTTAACTTTCCAAGGTTTGCTCTCCTCAATGAGCCCCGGACAAACTCAGTGGATCTCTGTGTAACATATTTGTTGTCTCTATCTGGTGATATACTAAAGGCTTCGACCTGTATTTGCAACACATTAGGACAAACTGTATTATTTTGAG